GTCTCTGTAAGAAGAGGATCTAGTGTAAGCATTTTAATTAGTACTTGTTTTCCTATGTTAGGTGGTGTGTTCACAAAAAGGCAGAAGGCTGGGTTATGTGGTCTTTCCAGATCCTGAGCCTGCTTTCTGTATGAGCGAGGTGCACAGATGCACAACCTGGTATAGGTTTTGGTGGTCCAGTTGAGTGATCTGGTGTAGGCTTAGTCTGGAGGAGCATGAACTTGGGGAGAAACACCAGCCACGTGGTCCTGTTGGTCTCTCTAATGCCATAGCTAGATCTTGGTGGAGCTGCTTGTGAAAACTGGGTTGGAGATGTGTGGAGCAGGTGAAATGGGAATTCTGATGGAGACAGGATGTGATTAGAGACAGAAGGGCAGTTCCTATCAAAGGGGGTGGCGGAAGTCTTGAGACAGAAAAAGGCAACAGGGCTGGCACGATTGAAGTCTGTACAGTGCTGCTGCTCAAGTACTTGGCTGGTCAGCACCTCAGTGACCTGCGAAGGACTGATCTGCAGGACAGAGGTGAGGGTGTAAGAGTAGCAGGAAGGGTAGAGCTGTCTTTAGCTCAGGCACATGCCCATATGAAGCTGTAGGTTTAGTGCTGTTCCCAACAGCGTGGGTGCTGGCGTTTGCCACGGTGACAATGCTGTCTCTATCCCTGTCCTCTCATGCTTTCTCTGGACTTGTCTGGTCCCACAGGTGTTACACACCACTAAGTTTTTGGGGTCAAACTCCATGTCTGTCTCATTCCTAGGCACTTGGCCCATGTATCTTGTTTGCATGAATTTCACTGATTTGTTGTAATAGCTTCCTGGTAACTCTTTTCATCTTAGGGCAGATGCTTTTTTAACTGAGTATGCTCTTAATCTATTCTTTCTAGCCATGGCAAAACAGCTGTGTAAATTGACAGGAGCCAGGAAATCGCAGCTTCACAGCTCATAGCGTGGGCTCCTGGTGCTTCCCGCTGTGTTTTAGCAGGAGGTTGTCCATCTGAAGTGGCAGTGCTGTCACACTGCTCCCTTCCCCACGTACCTGCTATTAAACCCCCATCCACACGGGCTGCGCTCCTGAACGCTCCACCTGCTCTCAGCACAGGGGCTCTCGTTAATCCTTGCAGCCTTTCCACGTGATGTATTTTACAGGGATCTGTCATGTCTTTTGCAACATTTTATGTAACTCTTGATAAACAGAGTTAGCATCTAGGAGCAGTGATGGCTTATCTGCTGGGGAGCAGGCTCGGGAAAGGAAATACAGGCAGGACAGTGCTTTTATGTGACAGTCACAAGTGCACCGGGAGCATCCCACCGGCAAACTGCAAGTGTTTGGTCAGGTTACACCTTCTATATGCGGGAACCCCCACAAAGGTGAGGTACAGAGGAGAGTGGGAGAATGATTCTAGCTATGGGCAGGGGTTTGTTTTGAATAAATTCAGGTAACATCTCTGTGCTAATGCTGATTTTTGTGGTTGGCGTGTGTATTTCAGGTCACAGCCAATGTCAAAGCAAGAATTTGGGCTGTGCTGTCTGGGCTGCAGTCACCCTGGATGTGATGCAGTTGTGTTCCTGGTGTTCTCTGGCTAAAAATCTGCATGTTGACAGTTTTTCTCAGCCCTGTTTTTATTTTGGGATGTTTGTTGGTTTTTTTTTTTTTCCCCCCCCATGTGACTGTCAGTGTTTTGGAGGCAATTCTGCTGATGCTGGTGTCAGCGCTTTGTGCTCAGATGCTGTCTCCTCTGGATGCTCAAGGCTGATGTGATGGTGGTTTTGTTCTTTCACTGTGCCACGCACCCCATACCCCCCCTTAATACCTACAGAGCTGGTAGCACTGGGTGGCAGTGTTACAGACAGAAGGAGCAGGCTGGGTAATGCAGTGTGATCCCACCAGAGGAATATCAGGAGTGTTGGAGTTTGCTTTGTGCCTTCCTTCTTCTCTTCCATTTGTTTCAGTCTCTTTGCTAAAGCAAAGCAAGAAAATGTTTGGGGATAGTGAGACTCCGGTTCCCTATTGTGAGTGGTTTAGTTTTTTTACAAAAAGGAAAAGAACAGGTAAAGTCCCACTGAAATAACAGCAGGATGAGAGTTGGGACTTCTGGTTTTAATTCCCAGGTTTGTCACCAATTTACTGTCCCCATCACTGTGAATTGCACTTAGAAATGGTGTGGTTTTTTAATCTGAAGTCGAGCTGTCCAAAATCTGACCCTCGTAGAGTGTGGCAGCTGAGTGTTTCTAAATGCCATCCTGATCTCTAGCCACTTTTGCCTGTGTACGGTGAAAGCCTAAAGTTGGGCAGCCAAACTGGAATGTGGGAGAGACTTCCAAAGCTGGTTAATACTGGTTGGCCTTGGGAAATCACTTCTGCCGTCTTTCAATCTTCCAGCCTAAATTATTCCATCACACATTAATTTTGTTGGCTGTACTTTATTAATGTGTGTCTCTCTATGCCTCAGTTTACACAGCTGTAATGAGTAATTATGAGTTTCCTGTCTAGGTACAGCTTAGAAATGAGCACTGTAGGTATGATTTTTGCATGCTTCGGGTTATTTGCTCATCTTTGAGAGATTCCCTGTTCTGATGAATTTGGTGTTTGTGGGACCTCAACTCCAGCCGTGTTCCTCTAGGGATGTGCCGGAGGTGGTAGCAGGAAGGGGGGTTCCCATGGCAAGGAGGGCTTTGCATCACTTGGACTTTGGTGTTTGCTGTGTGGTGTTGAAGTCTGGAGTCCTACTGGTCTGACTGCACCAGCCCTGTTAGATCACACCTTGCAGTCAAATCAGTCCTGTGTTGGGGGTGATCAATGAAGCTCTGTCGCACGAATGCCTGGTGGGGCAGCGAGGGGCAGTGGGATATGGTGTGTGTCCCTTGCTCTGAAAATCCCAGTGTACTTTTTTCTAGCAGTATCTGTCCCCATCTGCTCAGGTCTGTCGTCCTGGCTCCCACAGACAGTTGGGAACAGTGACACTGCTCTTAGATACGTGCTCGAGCAGTGCTTACGGAGCAGCGTGGCTGAGGTCACTGAGCAGGGACAGGCTGTGCTCTGCCCTTATACCAAAGGACACGATTTCCCCGTGAATCATGGCCATTTCATCCCAGCAGCTACCTGCACCCAGTGTGTGGATGAAGTCAGGATCTCCTCTCCCTCTGGGATGCATGGCTTTTCTTGGCTTTGGTGTGGGGAAGAATTCGGGCATTTGCATTGCCTTCAGTCATAGGGTTTGATTTTTTAAATTTATTTATTTTTCTTGCCTTGCTCAGTTTGTGGCTGTTTAGTGGTGGGGGGATTACAGCAGGGGTATAAAGTAACTACCTGTATGGGATGAAGGCTGAATTTTCAAAAATCATGAAAGCAGTTCAGTTTTGGAGATGTGACTTTGGACACTTATCAGGGTCAGGGTTAGGGGCTCATGCTTATGCAAAGCAACAGAAGTAGGTTGTTCCCATTTTTTTCTGTTTTGTTCCCAGTGGGCCTGTCTTTGTCCAGCTGTGCCCTGACATATCCTAACAGAGGCTAACTGCCCCCAGAGAAGAGCTGCTGTCAGAATACTTTAAAGTCGGTCAGACTGGCTCCTGCTTCGTGAGGTTTATCAGCAAAGATTTTCAGTGCCTCCAGTGGGAGGCTATTTTTATTCTATCCAGGGGCTACCTTCTGCTCTGAGGTCTTTATCACAGTTTTTTGACTAGAGAAACCTTCCTGGTTTAGGACAACCTTAAATATCTTCATCTTTTGCAGTATGAAATGAGATAGTCTTTTATCCAAGGTGAAAAGTTTTTGCCATTTCTGTGACATGTGCAGTATTTTTTTTTCCCCCCTCTGTAAAAAACTGCTATAGACACAAGAATGTGCTGATTTTTTTCCCTCGAGCAGGGATGACAGCAAATGAGGTACCAAATGTTTCATCTTCATACTTATTGGTGCTATGACTGTTGCAGAAAATCCACCTTGTGTTTCATCGCACCCTGTAATCAAGACTGGGAGAGCTCTTGATCTTTTGGTTAATTTTCTTGCCCTATAGCAAGATCAGTCGTACCTGTGTCTTTTCTGACGGAGGCTGGTCTATGTGCTTTTAAATACCTCTGCAGCCTCTCCAGGCAGCATATGTCAGTGCTTCACACTCCTTGTCAGTAAAAGTCTGGTTTCTCCCAACCTTGTATTTAACCTGAATCATCTCTGCTGCAGTTTAAACCTGTCATTTCTTGTCCTGCCCATTTTGAATACAAAGAACAGGGCTTTCCTGTTCACAGCAATATTAAATATTTGAAGACTATTCATGTGCTTCTTTCTTCTTTGTGTTAAATAACCACTGTTTGTTAAATCTTCCCTTCTTCGTGGTGGATGTAAGTCTTTTATGTAAACCTTAATTGGCCTGTCTTCTCAAAACTATTCTGTAAGTAAAGATCCCAGTTATTAACTAATCCACAAACAGTTTAAACTCTTTGCTCAGCATTTTATTTAAATACTTTAATAGAAGCCTTCTAGCCTGGCCAAATTGCTTATTTGTGCATCACTGTCTGTGACTGACTTGATGGCCAAGTATCCTCACGGTTTTTCGCTGCTTGCTGACTGCAGTTCATTCCAAGAGAAAGACTGGGTGCCCAGCATGATGTGAACCTTCATTCTATGGGACAGTGCTTGCACCATGAAGGCTGGGCATTCAAATAGAAAGGGAGCCCAAAGAGAGGCTGACCAACCACGGAGTCATGGATCTCTGCAGGCATTCAAAATATACATTGTACGTGGGAATCTGGAAGTGAACATGTGCTCAGACAGGTGGTAGGCTCTGAAATGTCACTTGGTATAAGGACCTTCTGATGTGGCTGGGTTTGAATAGTCAGATCATTCTTGGAGGTCAACTGCTACAACACTGTGACTTGGATATCCTTGATATGTATGTTTTTGGCTCCAAGGGAAAGTCAAGGAAACTTATGCTTTATTAGAACATATGGGGAGGACAGAAGGCAGGTTGTATTCCCTTTCAGTAATTTTCTCTGGATTTCTCTGTTGTAGGTGAGTGTTTTAACCACCTTGGAGCGGCGATTCAACCTTCAGAGTGCTGATGTGGGCGTCATTGCCAGCAGCTTTGAGATTGGCAACCTGGCCCTCATCCTCTTCGTGAGCTACTTCGGAGCACGAGGACACCGGCCACGCTTGATAGGATGTGGAGGGATAGTCATGGCCTTGGGGGCCCTCCTTTCTGCCTTGCCTGAATTTCTGACCCACCAGTACGAGTATGAATCGGGAGAAATACGTTGGGGGGCTGAAGGGAGGGATGTGTGTGCTGCCAACGGGTCCACCAGTGATGAGGGACCAGACCCGGACCTTATCTGCAGGAACAGGACTGCTACCAACATGATGTACTTGCTGCTCATTGGAGCACAGGTCCTCCTGGGCATTGGTGCTACCCCCGTCCAGCCCCTGGGAGTTTCCTACATTGATGACCATGTGAGGCGGAAAGATTCCTCCCTGTACATAGGTAAGGCTCTCTGAACTTCTTCTCACTGAAGGCTTTCCTTGTGGGCTGGCATCTCGCTCTTGTTTTCTGTTTGATGCCCGTGAAAGGGATGCCTTGAGGCCTCTTTTCCATATGCTGCTATGCTTGTGAAGGTAACTTGGCATGGGTCTCTGCACCGAACAGATGTAAGCAGTGGAGAAACACAATGATATTTGCTTGTGTAGTAGCAATGGTAAAGGTTGACAGCCATGGTGATTATTTCTGGATGATCAGGAAGATGCTCACTGCTCCTATTGTGTTTGCCCAGATTGCTTTAAATTCTGATATTGGTGGCTTACGGTTGAGTTTTAGCTGAAGAATTTCCAAGTGGCATGTGTGATGATGATTTATTTTTTTTCCCCTGAGATACCCTGGTTCCCTTCCTCTTTTTAATCTGTGTCTGAGTGATCATTGCAGTATAAGGAGACTGAGAGGAGACGCATGTCTTGTCACTGTCGCCATCACAATTTAGCAAGGAAGTGCCCGTGAATGGAGTGAGTAGGTGCTGTGACCCAGCGTGCTGTGGCAGGACTCCAGATAATGGGATCCCTGTAACGGAATGGGATGTGGAAGCTGGTGAGGTCTATTTTGAGAGCTGGTGAGCCTGAAGTAGAACTCATGGTTGTGGTGATTTATGTTGAAAAATGCTTCCAGATGGTTAAGATATGAAATTTGGCTTCAATTACCTAATGAAACATCTCTGTTGTTGGGGTAAGGTGCTCATGGGTTTCAGCATTAGTCTCCTCTCCAGGTTTAAAGATGATGTTGCGGGTGAAGTTGTTCTCTAGAAAACCTTGGCTCATTCTTCTCTCTGCAGGACTTGTCAATAGATAAACAGCTCCAGTGCAATAAACCAGTGAAGTGTGTGCTGCCATTAATGTGATCCTTCTGCACTAGAAACCAAAACTGTGTGCACTTGTCCCATCGCCTGTGTTTTGTCTTGGCTGTGAACTGAATGGATAATCCCATTAGAGGTTTGGGTTTTTTTTTTGTGAAGAGGTTTTTATCAAGTTCCCAAGCATAACAGAACATAGCTGGGGTGTGACCCTGGACAGTCCCACTTACGCTCTGAATGGTGTTCAGTGTCTTGGGATAGCCCAGAGCTATTGGAAAGACTAATTACTATTCCTGGCTGTATTGCTGCTTTACTTAAAGAGGTTCTCCTGTGTATTCAAAGTGTGTCCATGTTTTCCTGTAACAGGCTGTGAAATCATAGCATTTCAGCATTTAGCTTTATCTTTGGATCATTACTCACCTTCACTTTGTTCTGTGTCGGTGAGGGATCCACTGGATAAAGCAGGATGATACATAAAATACAAGATACTGTGCAACCTGAAGGTGAATAATGAGACTAAATTCACTGCAGCAGCTTTGCCAACACTGTAAATGATGAGCTGGAATTAAGAGTGATTCTAAGATTCTTTTATAAATAACTATTCAGAGAAGCAGCGACTTCTTTCGCTTCGTTCCATGAGCATTTTTTAAGCAATGCTTCATGTCTGAGAACAGGATTGAGGAGGGTGCATGAGAGGAGAACTGGGAAGAGTGATTCTTTTCGTTCCTGAGATATCTTTATCTTGTATGCTAAAATAACTTCCTTAAAGTTGGCAGTTCAACTGTAGCTGGGAAAATACTGACAGAAATTGATTTCTGCTTACTATATGCTGCTTCATTATTTTTCCTTCAGACATATGCTTCTAACCATGTTCCTTTCTACATGCGGAGTTCTAAAAAAAACCCAGGTACTTTGGGGTGATTTGTTTTACTGGCTTTTAGCTATAAAAAAAATCATAATCTGCATTTCTACTTTTGAGTTATGGGTTGCAGAAGAGTGCAAATGTATCCACATTCAACCAATCAGCCATACTGTCAATGAAGTTTACTGTCTGCCCTGTCCCAGTCTATCCATCACAAGGAGGTTTTCAGATACGGGATGATTAATTCTTATATCAACCTGCAGTCACTTTGGGTAGCAAGAATAAAAGCTAACAGGAAAAAAATTACAGAAAAAAAAATCTATTCTGTGAATTAATATAAATGGAGAAGAAGCTGTTGGAAATTGTTATCAGTTTTATGAATATTTGAGAGAAGGTCAAATTCCTCAGTGTAAAATGTTGTTTGAGAATTCTTTGCTCAGATTTGTCTTTAACTGATTATTTTTGTTGATGTCATCAATGTCGTTTTCAGTGGCCTTAGCAGAAAGCTGGCTGAGCAGCTCACCCGCCTCATTCTCCTCTGTTTCACAGAGGAAATAACTGCAGAGTGTATACTGTCACTGTGCTATATTTGTACCGGTTTGCTTTCTCATAATAGCACGCTCACTCAGTATGGGCTACGCTGTGTGTGACCGGATAAAATGTTTTTGGGTAAGTTCCCTCAGTTTAAATTAGGAGTGAATCTGGCATGGGCTGTTCCCTCAGGATAGAAACTAATTAATAACAGCAGTAATAGTCTGGCCAAACTTTCCATCATGACTGGCTGTGGCTGAGAAATGGTCAGATTGACCAGCCTGTGCTGTCTTCAATATATTGCTAACGTCAAATACGTATGCGCTGAGTTTGTAGTTTTGAGTTTGAGTTTTGTAGCTGAGGGGAAGCAGCAATCACTTGCCTGACAGCTACGTTCTGAGAATTGTTCACCTGCTGCATTAAAACCCCTCTTGTGTCCCAAGGCACTGAATTAGGCAGAAAAAACCCCAGTGCACTGAGTGGTTTAGTTTTTTTTTTTTTTCTTCTGAGTTGTAAAAGAGTTCAGTAGAGTAACTTCATATATTATCCAATACAGCCTCTTTGCAGTGAAATGATAATACAGGAAGATTCCTCCAACTGGAAACCCCTGCCTTAATTAAAAAAAAAAAAATTATTAGTACTAGTATGTGTGTGCAGAAGAATGCAGATGTGATACCATGTGGAATTTGAAGTGAAGCATTTAACTGGTCTGCAAGTAATAGCATCTGTGGGATATAATACACTTGCCATGAAGTCCATCGAATCTGGCTCATTGTGGTTTCTCTGCAGTGACAGGCACACAGGAGACAGCGGGTTGTTAACCTCTGTTGTGCATCTGTTGAAGACAGAGGTTGCTCAGGCTTGTGATGTGCCAAGAAGGTGGGGATTCAGAGAGTTTCGTAATGAGAGAGACGGGTGAGATATTACAGGAAGATATCTCTGTGGAATGGGCTGCTGACATGTAGTTTCATGTTTCTTGAGCTAATAGCATATTTTTTTGATGCCTGCGATGTGTTGCTACCAAACTCAAACAGATTCTGTTGCTGTAGTAACCAGCCCTAGGAAAGGGCTGTGTTGTGGTAACTGAGGGCAAATCAAATAAAAAAGATGCATGCATGGAAGTACACACCAAAGGATGTTCAAAAGAAAACACATCTGTGCCATAACAGAGTTAGAAAGATAGCGGGACCATGCCTGCGCCTGCTAATGCTGGGAAATACATTCTCCTCCCATTTCAGCATCCGAGCGCCTGCTCAACACCAAGGTCGTAATGTTGGCAATAGCAGCCAAAGGTGAAAAAACCAAGGAATTGTCTTAGCCATTAAAAGCTGGGAAAAGTCTTCTGGTTTGGTGCTGGTTTGCTTGCTTCTCTCTCTCTTTGGATCTGCTCTTGGATTTAAGCTCTGAACTCCCATCTAGAGATTTTCAAACGAGCAGGTTAGTTTTACCTGTGTGTTTTCAGGCATTTGGCACAAGTAACCCCTTTGAGTGGAGTTATTCCTCACTCCTGCAGACTCTGCAGGGCTCGTTATTGCTGCAGCTTCACTAATGTCAAAGGATTGCCTCAATTTGTGGCATCGTTTATTTTAGAAGAGGAAAAGTATGTTGAAGACTACATACTACACAGCTCCTTTCTCTACCCGCTAATGACTCACTTGACATTTCCCTCTTTTTATTTCTTTTTCTGCTGGGCCTGGCTGAGTTCTGCTGGAATCAATGAAGACTTTGTCGTTAGGAGGGGGATCAGAGGTGTCGTGGAGCCTGATACAGGGGGGGCAAAAGCCTGATCTGACAGTGGTTGTATGGATTTGCTGCCTCTCAGATGAGCAAGAGCTTGCAAGTGTTTTCTGGTCACTGGAGTACCCCCGTTGCTCTCAGCAGTGGTTTGTGTGTTCAGTTAGAGCCAGTGATGTGGTGGATTAATGTTATTAGCAGTCTCCATATGCGTCTTCTGGGCTTCCTGCAGCATTTAACATTTATTGATAAAAACTGTTGCATCTTGTCTAAGACACGGTTACCTATAGAGCAGAATGAATAGCCTCTGGGAGCCAGGATTTGATCTGGGACAATTAAGGGCTGCATTATATAGAGGAAGTTGCTATTATTCTGTCTGCTGTGATGGAGGAAATTGATACTGATGTTGGAGGGAGCGCTGCCAGATTGTGTGGCTCTTTCAGAAGCATGCTGTGTTGATCTTTAATGTGTTGGAGATTCTCTTAAGTTTGCTCAGTGTGTAACTTCATGGACACATACCCCACATGTTCAGGACCCACCACTTCAGACTCCTCGCTGTAACATGAAGAATGACTTGAAGGAAATCGCAGAAGGGGCAAGTCTTGAGTCAAGGAGTAAGTGATGAGGAGTGATGAGTGCTCCTGAGTTACTGGTGGTGCAAAGGTGTTCCTGAACATAGCTGTTCTTACCCTGCTTTGTGGCAGGGTGGAGGAACAGAGAAATAGAAAACTCAGCACTGCTGGATCTGTCTGTTTAGCTGGTGACTTCTGTTTCATCTCCCAGGTTTCTGGCTGGCCTCTTCTGTGGGTATTTAATTTGTCATATGGTTGTTCCAGCTGTTACCCTTCTTGTAAGAGGAGGACTCAACAGGATGGTGTTTTCTTTCCATATCTGCCCAGATGGGACTAACCCAGTAAAGGGGACGGGACGCTGTGTTGTTGCTGCTGCCTTTGACCTTTGCGGCAGCGGGGGGTTATTTTGCATTGAATGTGTGAAAGCACTTCTTGCTTTGTGATGACA